AATTAATTATAATATTTTTGAGTTGCCTTTTCATATAATTATATGAAAGATCTATTAAATTTTTAATTGTATTAATGTAAGAAATAAAAAATTGTTAATTGAGAGCATTAATATAATTTTTAAATAAATCACTTTCAACAATAGATAATGGTTGTTTTGTTCCTACTATAAATTTCACAAGATCTTGATTTAATAATTTTTGTCTTTTTGAACTAAGAGGTCTTGATAGAAGTTCATCAATAGATTGTTGTTTTTTTGATTATTTTAGATTGCTTATTTCTTTTGGAGTTTTTGAAGATAATGAAACTTCAGTAATATGATGATCATCACGAAGATGTTTTATACAATTAGTTGTAGAACCATGATGGACATATTTGCGTATACAATCTTTTATTTGACAAATTGTATAAACAATATCTGTTTCTGCATCATGATCAGTTATAAAAAAATCCCAAACAAAACTAGTTATCAATACTTCTATTGTTTTTAATTTTTTTGATTTGATTTTTTTCTTTGGAGGTTTTTAATAAAACAAATGCTTTTCTTTTTTTACAATTTTGAAGATGACTTGAATTACTTAGAATATTATTGTCACTGATTTTACCTTCACCTTCATCTTCATCACCTTTATTACTAATTTTATTATCATCTAATTCTTCTATATTAGTTGATTTTTCAAAAAAAAAGATAGAATCTCTTTTTTATTTATATTACTTTTTTTTCTATTCTTGGATTTTTTTATTTTAGATAATATTTTTACTTGATAAAGCAATAGGTGTTTCATTTTCACTTCGAAAATTCATTTCAAAAGATAAAAAATCATCATTTTCAAAATCATTTTTATAATTATTCAAAATAGAATTATTTTCTAGAATCTGACCTTCTGTATTTTTCACATTTACATTTTTTCATGTTCTATTTTCTTTTCTTTTCCTTTTTCTTCTTTTTTTTATTACTATTAATTCTCTCTTCACTTTTTTCTTCTTCATCCTTTTCATCATCTATTTCTATAATTTTTACAATATCTCTTTTTCTTTTTTTTTCACTTTTTCTATTCTTTACTCCTTAAGTTTCTCACTCTCTTCTTTTCTGTCGTTCTCTTCTCTTCTTCTCTCTCTTCCTCCCTTATTCCCCTCTCTAAATGTCCATGACCTTTCACGACCGTAATTTCAGCAATTTAATAATTTTGTTAATTTTATTTTTTACTTTTTTTCCTGTCTTTTTTTCTTATATTTTTTTTCTATTTTTCTTTTCTCAAGTTCTTCATTTTCTTCTCTTCTGTTGTTCTCTTCTTTCCCTTCTTCACTTACTCCCCTCTTCTAAACATCTGTGACCTTCCATAACTGTAATTTCAACGATTTTAATGATTTGACCAATTTTATTTTTTACTTTTTTCCCTACTTCTTTTTCTTCTGTTTTTTTTCCTATTTTTCTTTTCTCAAGTTCTTCACTCTTTTCTCTTCTGTCATTTTCTTCTTTTCTTCTTTCCCTTCCTCCCCTTCTTTCCCTTCCTCCCTTAATCCCTTCTCCTAAATATCTGTGACCCTCTGTAATTATAATTTCAGTGATTTCAGTAATTTGAATGATTTTATTTTTTCTTATTTTTCTATTTTTCTTTCTTCCCTTTCACCAAGTTCTTCACCTTCTTCTCTTTTGGCACTTCCCCTCCTCCCTTTCTCCTTTCTCTTAAATGTTTGTGATTTTTCGCAATCGTAATTTTGGCAACTTCAACGATTTCAATTTTACTCTCTTCTCCACTCTCTCTTCCATTTTCTTTTCCACTCTCTCCTCCACCCTCCCCTGTGTTTTTGTGTTATCTCTTTCTCTCCTTTTCAGTGGTGACCTGATTTTCCTGAGGTTTGATTATTATTATTGGTTTGTTTATATTTAGGAAGAAATCTATAAAAAAAAAGATTATTATTATCAAAATTATAATTATAATATTATAATTATAAAAAAAGAATAAGATTCAAAAATATAATTATAATATTATAAATGAAAAATACAACAATTAATTGTCCATTAACATTTGTACTTGACTATATAGTTGATAATTAATTAATTGCAATTTTGTATTTGCGATTCCTAACACTACCTGCCACATTCCAATGATTAATGGATCAAGTTTTCTATGATGTTACATAAAAGTTTGTACTGGTCTACATGGATGACATTATAATTTACTTCAAGACCTTCGCTAAATATTTCAATAATTTCAAACAAGTTTTTCAATTTTTTATTGAAGCTAGATTAAAATTGAACCCTAATAAGTGTGACTTTTTCAAGAAACAAATATTATTTTTAAAACATTTGATTTCTGGAAATGGCATTAAATTCAATCCTACTTTTTTCAATAAAATTAAAAATTGTTCAGTATCAAAAATGAGATGACAAATCAGATCATTTTTAGGTCTCACTTTTTATTACCAATACTTTATTCGTAATTTTTCAAAGATTACAAAACAATTGTATAACTTGACAAAGTTAAATAGAGACTTCTGCTAGACAGAAGAAACCTAATGATCTTTTGAAACATTAAAGAAATGTCTTATAAACTCGCTAATTATTAAATACCCTAGTTTTACCAATCCCTTTATTCTTTACACTGATACTTCTGATTATACTATAGGAACAGTACTTATTCAGAATAATGATCAAAGAAAGGAACATATAATTGTTTACACTAGCTAACTTTTAAATACTGCTGAACAAAATTATACTGTAACTGAAAAGAAATATCTTATTGTAATTTGAACAACCAAAGATTTTCATCACTTTTTACAAGGATCTCAATTTTCTATTGTCACTAATCACGAAACAATACCTTAGCTCAAAAAATACAAACAACTTAAAGAAAGGTTAGCTCACTAAATAATCCATTTATCAGAATATGAACCATATAGTATTCTAAAGAGGAAAGGTAGTAACTATATCAATGCTGACGCACTTTCAAGGCTAGAAACCACTCCAGTACATAGTCTTTTGAATTTTTTATATTAATCTTAACTTATAAATAAACACAAAATAAACCACTCAAAATAGACTTGGAAGTGTACAATAACCTCATTAATTATTTATTATTCTATAAATATCTAAAAAATTTTATAACAAGTGACAAACAAAGATTAGCAAGGCAAGTGACACAATATTTGATAGAACAAGAGCAATTATTAAAGAAAAACAAAACCAATTTTAACAAACCATTATGAATAATAACTCTACAGGATAAAGAGCAAATTTTATATGATCTATATTCATCTCCCTTAGGAGAACATTTTGAATTCAAGAAAATAATTGAGAAAGTTCTGGAAAGATATTATTGGTCTACAATAAAAAAAGATATTAAGGCATATATCAAATCTTGAATAGTTACTAAAGATTTGATAGTTTCCAAAAGATACAATTAACTGAGTCTATACCAGTTATTAGACCTTTCTTTCAAATAGGAATTGATTACGTTGAACCTTTAGAAATAACTAAAAATGAAAATAGATATATCATAGTGATAACAGATTATTTTACCAAATAGCTTGAGGCATATGTTGTAAAAATAGCAACAGTTAAGGAAACTACACAATTCCTTTATGAAGAAATTATTTGTTAACATGGAACTCCATCTATAATCTTGTCTAATAGTGATGCTTACATCAGGAAATTTTAATAAGCAAAAATTTCTGGAATTTTAATATGGTATTAAATTTTTGGAATTTTTTACAAAATATTATGGAAATTTCCGGAAAATTTTCGAAATTTTTCAGATATTAAAATTCCATAATATTATAGATGTAATTTTTCAGAATTTCAACATAGTGTTAAATTTTCAAAAATTTGATACTTTAAAAAAGTACAAATTTTTTAAAGTAAATTTTTATATATAAATTATATAAATCTAAATCTG